TTTTTTGAGGTGAATGAGCTCCTAAGGGACATTACTGTTGAGGCCATCTTGATTTTCTGGGCCGCAGTCGGTCACGTTGACCCCTCCTAACCATTGTGCTTCTCACTTGAGGTAGTTCTTTGAGTGTCAGGCTCTGAAGTGGGTTGTTAAAACTCCCCTTGTGGCCTGGAGGGGAGACACTAGGAGGCAAGAACATGCATTACCAGCACTGCAAAGCCTCCAGCTCCCCATTCCCTCCCCTGGTTCCTCACCTTTTAGCCCTCTGGAGGGTAAAAGCGGACAGTATTGCCTGTTCTGTCCTGACATTGCCGGTTTCCACATGCATTCTTTACTCAGCCTGTGAAAGAACGGCTCTAATAACCTTAGGTGGCAGGATCATGCATATCACGGCAAACGGTGCCCATCAGCCGCAGCATGAACTGTCGCTCTGGTAAACAGTGGTGACCGGCTCCAGCCTCCTTAGCTACCGCTGGGATTCCTTGGAAAACATTTCCATTGTCCACAGGGAAGTGAGGTGGATTATCTGTATATTACAAGAGACAACAGTTTCTGTCTGCAGCTCCCTGAAGATAGAATTATTGCAACTGCAGCCAGGTGACTGCTCCTACGGTCTAAATTAGGTCTATTTAAAGAGGGGTTATTACAGTAGAAATAGTTAGTGTTTTCAGGTTGTTTAAATGAGGTGAAGATTCGAATAAAGTTATCAGTATGATCAAGAGTGTTTATTACTTATAAAAGAAACCATAAATTCAGTTTTTAGTTTATATTTGTGGATAAAATTATCCTTATTAGATGTTTTCATTGAAATATTTTATTTTAATCTTGTTTTATCTCATTATTCCTCTAATCTGATATTTGCATGTCTGTGTATATGTGTGTGTGTGTGGAGCCCTGGTGGCACAGTGGTTAAGAGCTCGCCTGCTAACCAAAAGGTCAGCAGTTCAGATCCACCAGCTGCTCCTTGGAAACCCTATGGGGCAGTTCTACTCTGTCCTATAGGGTCACTGTGAGTTGGAATTGACTCACGATACTGGGAATATGTATGTGTGTATGTAAATAAAATGAGGCTTGATTTGTTATCTGCAGGCAAATAATTGAGCAGCTTGATGCTACTCCAAGATTTTATATAAAAAAATTTTGAAAAAAAAATATTCAACTCAAACTAGATTAGCTTTTCACTGAGCTAAATGATCTAGTATTTAAGTATTGGCAGACCTGAAGTTAATTTACTATAAAACTGTTTATTAAGGGAAGGTTTTTTCTGATTAATTTCTCTATAAAAACCAGCAGTAATTTTCCACTTTTACTTACAATTGCTAAATTATATCTGCTGGAAACATTGTATCTTCTGCTCGATTTGGTTTCCTTAGACATTTATATGGCAGACATCTTTAAGGTTCTGAAATACAATGATTTCTAAATTGGAGCACGCTGTCAGAAAATTAATATAATGTTAGTTTAAAAATTACTATCCATCATGACCCTCATCTGAATAATTACAGGTTTTGCTTCTCAAACAGCTGCTGCTGTGGTCTGTAATTTGCTTTTCTTGTAACTTTTCTTCACTGAACCTGAAAATTGCTTTCTCAAGGCTGTATGACAACACTGGCCTTGGCTCAATCTCTGCGACAGACTAGTGTTGGGAAGCCGTTGGAACTTTTGGAATCTCAATTTCCTCTTTTTAAAGTGGGGGCATTAGCATCTGTGCTGTTCATCGCAGTGCTTTTCAGAGGGCCAGTTGCTGTAATGTTAGGTTGCTTTTATTATTTTACACTGAGGGTGGGCTTTTAAAAGTGCAGTTTAAGGTCTGTTACGGTTTCATCTGCCTGATTGTAGCAAATAATTTATAGTATTTACTGGAACAACACGTGTTTGGAAGCAGCCAGCCCTGGGTTTGCAGTCTGCCTTCTGTTTACTAGCCGTGAGGCTTTGGGCAAGCTAACTTGCCTGAGTTAGGTTTTCTATAAAATGGTGGATAACATGTTCCTGGCAGAGTAGAGATGATGAAGGTATAGCACTTAATAAAAGATGTCTTCTAGTATAGAAGTTTAGGATGAAATTAGTGATTCAAATACATGCAATTACGGTCTCTCCCTAATTTTCTTTTCAGTACAACTAATGTTACTGATTATTTATGCCAGAAAAAAAATGAGCTGTTTACACATGGCCTGCTCAGTGATTTGGAGGTGTGTCTAGCCCTTCCACAGTTTTTTGGCCTGGAGTGATTGTTTACACATCTCTGTAACATCTCCAACATTTAACATTAGGTCGATATAGCCCTCGTGTTTTGAAGTCTGAGAACTAGAGAACATTTTTATACCTGGAAGCTGTCTCTTACATCTTATGCTATATACTATTTTAAAAACTTCTGTTTGATAGATCATCTTTCTAGAAGGAAAAGCCATCACAAAGGATTCCTTCCATGAACAGAAGTCACTGTCTGTATATTTGTATGGCATACAAAACAGATGTTGATTTAGTGGCTTAAATCAATCTTCGCTCACTTTTATTGTATGTATTGAACTTTTTTTTTTTTTTTTAAGTTACCCAATGAACAGTTACCTTTTAAGTGAACACAGAAACTTAAGTGTAGAAATTAGGCTGTTTCCCAAAGTCAGATCCATCAGATTCATGGATGTGACCCGAGTGAAACCTTACCTTGATTTTGGAAGATTTAGCTCTACCTCTCTACACTTTGTCAAAAGAATGGCAACAGCAAAGGCACATTTTAAAGCTTGCCATCTGTGGTTGGCCTCTGGCATGCTCTGGGTTAGGGCGCGCCCCCGCCCTGCCCCCCATAGTCTCATTAAAGCCTCAGCGTGTGGATCGGGCGCCTGTGACAACACCCTCTTTGCTGAGTGTTGACAGTCCCTTTCCAACATAGCTGTACTCTCCAGCCGCCAAAAGAGCCCAGCCTTTCCATTCTGCTCCTGTACATTCATCTGACCAGCTTTTATGCTGTGTCAACTAACTACCAGGCCCAGCAAATTTTCCTGCTGGGAACAAGACTTATAGGGAGACATATCTCTAAGGGAAATAAAAGGAACTTGGTTAAGACACATTAAAACACCTTACTTTTTAATGGTGTTTTTCACCATTGGTATAGAAATCCTGTAAGGACACTTGGTAGCCAAGAAGAAAAAGATTTCATTCATTTGTCCACTAGGAAGTCGGTAAAGCTTTCTTCTTTAACATCTGTTCTCCTTGGTAGTCCATTGAAACAGGCTCCATATGGAGTCTTGATTAGGATCGTGTGAACACAGCAAGAAGAGTCTACAAGCTGGAGGGAGGAGGGAATGAGCTGCCACATTTGTGCAGAGACTGTTTCATACAGTGGAGATGTCCTGGAGAATCCTCTTCCCCCCGTTTTGTGCCAACCTGTGTTTTTCTGTAAGGACTCCGAGTTTATTTGTTGCAATTCTTAGACTTAATCTTACCCAAGATAAAAGAATCTTCAGATTTCTTTCTGTTCAATTCCTTGTCCATCTGAAGGCGCTGATGTTGGGAAACCTTGTTCTTTATTATAAGTAAATCCCAGGTTTTAAGAACAAATGCAGGATTAGTAAGAGTGGCAAGAAGCCAGGAACAAACTGAGTAAGAGTACGGAAGCGTACAACTTAGTGGTCCAAGTTTGGGAGATAATTTTTTTTCTTGAGCCTCGATATTAATTGAACAAAGTAAGAGGGAGTGACTCAGAACATCCTATTCTGGAGACCTTTACATCTCAATTTTCAAACTATTCAAGGAAATTCTTAGAATACTTTCCTTATTTCCTACCCTTCTAAATTGCTTCTAGTTAAAATCTTTGATAATACTTCAATAGAATTTATATCTAGTATACTGAAGCTGTGGAGCCCTGGAGGCACGTAGTGAAGAGCTCGGCTGTTAACCGAAAGGTCAGCAGTTCGAATCTACCAGTCGCTCGGTGGAAACCCTGTGGGGCAGTTCTGCCCTGCCCTGAGGGTTGCTATGAGTCAGAGTCAACTTGACGGCCATGGGTTTTTTGGTTTTATACTGAAGCTACTTCTGTGGACTTGGGAATAGTTTTTCATAATTGTGATAACAAGACTGGAGCAACAGAAAGATGTAGTTACATCTGATTTTAGTCATTGAGCTTATGGTTTAGTGTGGGTGGCAAAACAATGATGATAAAAACCATAAATGATATTGAGCAGTAATAAGAGCTGTGAAGAAAGCAGATCAAGGCAAGGAGTGGAGATGGTGAGCTGACAGGACTCCGGGTGGCCGGCACGTGGAACGGAGGGAAAGAGGAGGATTCTCCTGGATTCCGATTATCCTCGTGCTGACGGCAGTGTAGACTGGCGATGGGAATAAAGGGTAGGTAAATGGAAAAAACCCACTGAACACTTATTTCACACATTTGAGAAGGGTTCTTGTTTAGAATGGCTGTCTGCATAGTCACATGCTAACATTTGCATTGTGGAATAGAATTTTCAGGACACTTTGAAGGGATGTTATAATTCCAGTGGCAGTTGACACTTATGTATTGTTATTATCCCACTAAAGTTTATGTTCTTTGAAGGCAGGGTTGGTCTGATTCGTCTTAGAACCTAGAGTGGGGCTTTGAGATATCGGCTTGGTCAGCGTTTGGTTTGAATCTACGGAAAAAAAAAAAAAAACGCCATTGCCATCAAGTTGATTCTGACTCATAGCGACCCCGTACGACAGAGCAGGACTGCGCCGTAGGGTTTCCAAGGAGTGCCTGGTGGATTTGAACTGCTGACCTTTTGGTTAGCAGTCAAGCTCTTAACCACTACACCACAGGTCTGTTTATGTGCAGATTTGATTTTGTTTACGCTTATGATTATGTAAGGAAATACTAAGAGCGGAGTAAGTTCTGAGAGGCTGCTGTGAATACGCCAGGCTGGTTTTTAATTTTGGGGTATATAAGACGTGGACAGACATTTGGTGGTGTTACCTCATGTGAGCATGTACAGAGGCTGCCCTGCCAGGTCATATGTGTGGCCCTAAGCTGGTGGGTAGGAGTGCAGGCGTTTAGTATTTAGAGTTGAGGAGTGCGAGTTGGGGGAGAGGGATACCACCTTGTTTGATGGTCTTGGCTCATAAATCTACTCTGTCTGGCTTGTGTAGGATGAGCTGGATGAACTCCGTGCTGAAATGGAAGAGATGAGGGATAGTTACTTAGAAGAAGATGTGTACCAGCTGCAGGAACTTCGGCGGGAACTGGACCATGCGAATAAAAACTGCCGAATTCTGCAGTACCGTCTCAGGAAAGCCGAGCAGAGGAGCCTGAAGGTGGCCCAGACTGGGGAGGTGGATGGCGAGCTGATCCGGAGCCTGGAGCAGGACTTAAAGGTATGTGAGCGCGATCTCCATCTGGAAATGAAGGCCCAACATGGGACCCACTGACTCGCTGTTTCAATGTTGTTTTGAGTGTTTGTATTTGTCTCAGCAGATTTCAGCATAAACATTGTTTCCTTTGTGGCTTATAGGGTGATGTGGGGTCATGTGACTGTCGATAGCCCAAGGCTTAAGTATGTAATAATGTGAACTGGAATTTTAAAACCAAAGGAAAGACACAGTAATGGATCTACAGTAAAAAATAAGACTTGCCAACTGATTTGACAATTGGAAACAAATTATACAGAAATGCCTTCTAAAGAGCCGAACTATTTTAAAAAATCTATTGGCCATCAGTTCAGTTATAGTTTAAAGGCCACTCTTAAAGGCTGATCATAATCACTTAACATTTTTGTATTATTTACGTTTCTAGGATACAGAACATCTGAAATTCCCATGACCCTAGTGAACTTGTGTAGCGTAATTTAACTGAAGGAGAAGTGGTTCTTTGAGGACCACTGGCAGAAATGGGAATGAGGTGAAGAAATTCCAGACCTTACACCATTTCTCTCTCCATCGGCAGCATCGCTCTCTGATGATCCAATTACGAAATCATTTATCTAGAGGTGAATTATTCATGATGTCCTCCTTATTACAGGAGTGCTTGTGAAATCCCATTTTGCCTTTTCATTAGGATAACAAGAAAAGAATCTGTAATTCTACAGAAGTTATAAACCACTAACAGTGTTATTCAGCGTGATTTAAGGGTGATTTACATTTCTCTTCCAAAGTCTCTTCTCATTTGCTACTAGAAAGTAAAAGTGTTCAACTGCATTTAACATTAAAGCATTTTCCCACACCAGAGCCATAGCAGACAATGTAAAACTTGAATATATTAAACATCTAATGCATACAGTATTATTATTATTTTTTTAGCAGACAGGTCCAGTATTACCTTAAAAAAAAAGAAACCTAACCTGTTGGCGTCGAGTTGCTTTTAACTCACAGCGACACTATAGGACAGAGTAGAACTGCTCCTTAGGGTTTCCAGGGAGTGGCTGGTGGATTCCAACTGTTGGCCTTTTGGTTAGCAGCTGAGCTCTTAACCACTGTGCCACCAGGGCTCCTTAGGGGACAGAAATGTTTATTTGTTATTATGTTTAATTTATCACTTAAAGCATGTGAGCCTGGGCAGAAGTAGTATTCTTGCTGATATTCTGTAATAAACCCATTGCCGTCGAGTGGATCCTGACTCATAGCGACCCCACAGGACAGAGTAGAACTGCCCCATAGGGTTTCCAGGGAGCGACTGGTGGAGGGTAGGGTTATTCAGAGTGGCCTTTTAATCCAGGTGAAGGTCATACTCTCCCTCATAACGTGGATTTCATGTTTAGAATTAACACCCTCCTCCTTTAAAAATGGGTTTATTCAATACCACCAGGGTCTTTGGTATAGTACCTGCTTATTCTGTCTCTGCAGTTGTGTGCACGTGTCCTTAGCAGGCAGAAAGCTCCCTGTCCTAATGGTCATTCCCTGTGGGTCTTACAGGTAGCCAAAGACGTCTCTGTCAGGTTGCACCATGAACTTGAAACTGTCGAGGAAAAGCGTGCTAAAGCCGAAGATGAAAACGAAACCCTCCGGCAGCAGATGATTGAAGTGGAAATATCCAAGCAGGCCCTCCAGAACGAGCTGGAGAGGCTGAGAGAGGTAACCTAGAAAAGAATGGGGATGCCTCCTGGGCTTGGTGGTTAGCCTGGAGCTGCAGGGGGTCAGCAAACCAAGGCCTGTGTGTCTGGCCCCAGAGCTGAGGATGGCTTTTACATTTTTTATAGCATTGTAGACACACACACGCACACACGGACACACGGACACACGCACGCACGCACGCACGCACGCACGCACACCCACCCAAAAACAAAGAGGCAATACAACAAAAACTCCCTGTGTCCCGCAAAGCCTAAAATATTTACTCTCTGACCCTTTACAGAAAAAGCTTGCTGAACTCTGGTCTAACGCTGTTTTTATAATTTCCTTTCTGATGAGCTGATCGTTAATTCCTTTTATGTGTCACAGTTGGGTATATTATTACTAGCACACAAAATTAAGCAGTAGCTTTTTTCCCTAGAGTCGTCTCTTCTAATGAGCTGGAAAATATGTATGGCTGTCTATGAGAGCTGAGTAAACACATAATGTCTGTGTCCTACCAGTATATATATCTCAGCCAACATAATTTAAATATACGTTTTTTTTTTTTCTTATTTTAAGGAGTGATTGTATTATAGCAAAGATGTCTAGAAAATGAATAGATATTATTTTCATTCGCATACGGTAATGCAAATCCTATTTTCTTGTGGTCTTCCACTATAAGACTGAAGCTGCATATTTTTTTGGAAAATATCTTGCGTATTGTTTAAATTAAAAACTATTGGTGAAGGCATTCAGATGATGGTTAAAGCCAGCATATTACCTGCTAAGATATGGACGTCACTTAGCAGTTCAGTTTTTCTTTGGATCAGTTTCGCGATTCACCCAGTCGTTAGCCATCCATCTAGCCGTCCATCCACCCACACCTAATTCAGGTCCTGGCCTAGGCCCTGAATGTGGCAGCACAGTCCCTGTCCTCAGTTGGGCACACAGATCGCAGAACAAGTAAGTCACAACGAAGTCATAAGTGCCGCCGCCTCTGGTCCTGCCTTCCCCGTCCTCCTCCCTGCTCTGCTGGCCTCCCTGCTGTTCCTCAGACTTGTTGGTTTTGTCTTCCTCATGCCTTCACCACTCCCCTCTGGAATGCGAGCTCCACTGGACAGGGCTTGTCCGTCTGGATCACTGAGCCCAGGACGGTGCCTAACACACGGTGGTCACGCGGGATGGTCACACGGGACCCTCTGTGGTGAGGGAATGAAGGGGTAAGAATACACGGCCGTGGTGGTCAGAGCTTGCTGGAGGGCCTCGGTGCAGCTCCGCAGGAGGAGAGACCTGAGTCTGAGTCTGAGTCCTTACTCTCATCATGATAACACTTGCCCCTTAACTTACATGTGTATTTGGCCCCCCTCTAACCCCCCTCTGGACTGGAGGGGCTTCTCCTCTAATTGTGGGTCTCTTGCCTCTGCATTTACACTTCCTGGTACTGTACTCCTCTCGTTTTCCTTTGGTCTAAGTTTGTAAAAGGTATGTCGTAATGATTTTTTTCTCAAAATTTCCAGTTTGAGTTTGATCTCAAGGATATGGAAAACAACTTAGAAGTATATATTTTAGAAATTGTATGTGTATGTTTGTGTGTGTGTGTAAATATGTAAGTATACGTATACACACATAACTGGTTGCTATTGAATCACCTCTGACTCATGGCGAACTCGCGTAGGTCAGAGTAGAACTGTACTCCATAGAGTTTTTAATGGCTGACTTTTTAGAAGTAGATAGCCAGGCCTTTCTTCTAAGAAGTTTCTGGGTGTACTCAACCTCCAGGCTTTCAGTTAGCAGCCAAGCACATCAACTGTTTGCACCACCCAGGGATACATGCATATAAATGTGCATGTGTGTGGATATGTATGTAAACACATATATACATGCATATCCAGTCACACGCATACACACACACAGACATATACGTATACATAAAGCAAGCAGAGATTCTCTTGCATATGCACTTAAATGGATTTGTGTAGGACTTGGCATCAAGTCATGAATGGCCCTTTAGGGAAAGAGATGGTTGCTGTTGCTCTTGATATGCCAGGCAGGAGGGCTCTTTGGAGACGGTGATGTTGGCTCAGGGTGGATGTGAGGAGAGAAGAGTGAAGGGCTCCACCGCTCCCTTCCATTGTGTGTTAAAATTACTCAGAGGAATTGCTCAATTGGGATGAAATAAGTACTTCATCTCCACTGTTGCAGGCAGACTAGTGAGGCCACATATTTGCAGCAGCCTTTTTAAATGGATTGTAAAACTAGTAGGAGTCCTCGGAGAGTTAGATGCTGGCATATGATGCTGGATCAGAGAATGATAGAACCGAGCCATGCAGGGTTCAGAGGTGGTAGAGGAGATATTTATTGGAAAATGCCAGCTGTTGTCTCCATGAATGGGTTCTTCTTACAAAAGCCAGAACAAAATACACTATGACTTTTGCTCCGGGGCGAGGATAATCTTTTCTGTATCCAAGCTTTGCTCTTTGTTGTGCACCTCTGAAGTTTTGTAATGGATGCATGCCATTCTTAAAAAGACAAGGACAGTTCATGTGTTGTGTGCGTCTCCACACAACAGAGGTAGCTACCAGTGTATGTGAACAACGTCAGCATCAGAGGACAGAGAAACACAGCATCGCCTTCCCTCTGCAGCTCTGCAGCCACGATGGCACTTCTTTCCTAAGCTCCAGACTGTATTTACAGCTGCCTGGTGAACATTTCCAATGGAAATTTTTCTAGAACGTCACACCCAGTGTGTCCAGAAGCAAACATCACTCCAGCCCAGCCTGCGTTTCCTTCTGTCTTTCCTGTTTGTGTGAATGATACCGCTGTCCTTCTAGTCGCCCAGGCTCAAAAGATTGCGGTACCTCCACTCTCTCGCTCGCTCCCCACCTTCGCTGGCTTGCTAAGCGCTTTAGGGTCTGCTTTTGCAGTCTTAATATTTTTTCTTCCTCACTGATGCATGCTACGACACGGATGAACCTCAGCAGTATTATGCTAAGTGAAAGAAACCAGACACAACAGAAACCACACATGTTGTATAATTCCATTTACGTGACATCCAGAGTAGGTAAATTTATAGAGACGGAGAGCAGATTAGTGATTGCAAGGGTTGAGGGGAGGAGGGAATGGAGAGTGACTGCTGGTGGGTCTGGGGTTCCCTTTTAGGGTGATGAGATGTTTTGGAACTAGATCGAGGTGATAGTTGCACGATGTCACGAGTACACTAAATGCCACCAAATTGTGCACTTGAAAATGGTTAATTTTATGTTACATGAATTTTACCTCAGAAAAAAATTATTTCTCTCATCTATTCATACTGTCACCAGTCTCCCCTCAAATGGATATTTGAGGGCTGACAGTGTGCAATCACCACTTTAAAGGTAGACAGTGTTTCTAGTCTTTTCCTTTTCTGGTCTGTGCTCTACATCCTAAATTCTGACAGTGTCACTCTCTTCTTAAACAAACAAACTTGCCTTGGCTCCAGTTGTCTACCTCTTTATCATAACTCAGAGAGCCTTTACCACCTGCCCATCCCTGTCTCCCAGCTGTGCCCAGCCCATTTCAGTGAACCCTGGAGTGAAATAAGAGCAATCCAGAAGGATGGTAATAGACTGTCTGCTCTGGTCCTCTTTGAACTCAGAGGTGTGTCCTTGGAAAAGTCACTTTCTCATTGATAGATGAGACGACTAAAGATATTAACTCACATGGATTTGTCCCTTCTAGCTAGTCAGCTGTTGAGCTTGTTTGCTTCTTCCTGTGCCCGTTCATTCCCTGTGTCCATATACCCGAAGCACCCATGCACTCCTCCACTGGTGCAAAGCTCAAAAAATTCTCATTTTTTAGAGAGGGGATGAAAGCATTCTCCCTGAGAACAGGAACAAGACAAGGATGCCCTTTATCACCACTCCTTATAACATTGTGCTGAAAGTCCTAGCTAGCGCAATAAAGCAAGAAAAAGAAATAAAGAACAGCCAGACTGGAGAGGAAGAAGTAAAACTATCCCTATTCACAGATTATATGATATTATACATAGAGAGCCCCAAAGATTCCACAAGAAAACTACTGAAACTAATAGATTCATCAGAGTAGCAGGATACAAGATCAGCATACAAAAATCTGTTGGATTCCTATACACCAACAGAGAACTTTGAAAAGGAAATCAGGAAAACAATACCATTTATAATAACCCCCCAAAAGATAAAATACTTAGGAATAAATCTAACCAGATTTATTCAAAGAAAACTACAAAAGCTGATGCAAAACCCAAAAGAGACCTACGTAAGTGGAAAAACATACCATACTCATGAATAGTGTCTTAGTTATCTAGTGCTGCTATACCAGAAATACCACAAGTGGATGGCTTTAACAAAGAAAGATTTATTCTCTCACAGTCTAGGAGTCTAGAAGTCCGAATTCAGGGTGCCAGCTCTAGGGGAAGGCTTTCTCTCTTTCTCGGCTCTGGGGAAAGGTCCTTGTCATCAGTCTTCCCCTAGTCTAGGAGCTTCTTAGCACAGAGACCTCCAGTCCAAAGGACACGCTGTTCCTGGCATTTTTTTCGTTGTGGTAATGAGGCCCTCCAGTCTTTCTGCCTGCTTCTCTCTTTTGTATCTAAAAAGAGATTGACTCAAGATACAACCTGATCTCGTAGATTGAGTTTTACCTCATTAACATAACTGCCTGTAATCCTGCCTCATTAACATCATAGAGGTAGGATTTGCAACATACAGGAAAATCACATCAGATGACAAAATGGTGGATAATCACACAATACTGTGAATCATGGCCTAGCCAAGTTGACACACATTTTTGGGGAACTCAGTTCAATCCATAACAGATAGGGAAGACTCAACATTGTCAGTTCTACTCAAAGCAATCTACAGATATAATACAATCCCGATCTAAATACCAATAGTATTCTTTAATGAAATGGAAAAACTAATCTCCGACTGTATATGGAAAGGAAAGAGGTCCCAGATAAGCACAGCATTATTGAAGAAAAAGAACATATTAGGAGGCCTCATATTACC